CAGAAAGCAGGATAGATTAATATGATAACGGCTTTATATCTAAACAGCATATTAATAAGAAAGTAAACATAGTTTATGCTTGGTAGGAAAACACAAGGATCACTGCTGTTATTGTTGCAACATAACTCATAGCGTTTATCACAATCCGCCGATTGAGACAAAAATGTTTAGGGACCCTTCTCAATTTTGGGTATTTTGACGGCATTTCATACGATGACGGGATTTATGCACGACATGTATAAAATCACCTCCTGAACCATATCTGATCCTATGTGAGCAAGCTCACCTAAACTATTTGTTTGCACTTCATTAAAGCTTATCAAGAGACAAATAGCTAAGAAAGGTGAGCGAGCTATAGCTGATCTTCACACTCCCAGTTAGGAAAGCTTTCAATACTAATAATAATAATACTGCTAGTTGTGTAATCCCGCGGGAAATTTTATTTAGTTCAGGTTTTATTTATTTCTATATAATAATTTTAATTAATCTAAACATTGCCTGTACGAGCGGTAGAATAATTAGCAATAAACCAATCAACAGACTCTTTGACGGCTACATCAAACGGAGTGAATTGAAAGTCACTCAAATAACTCTTCAACTTGGCATTGCTGGCCGTCTTTTTAAATTGACCATCAGACCTTGAAGTATCGAAGGTATAGTCCCCTTCAAACCCAACTGCCTTAACAATGGCATCAGCTACATCCTTGATTGATATTTCATCTTCTTCTCCGACTGTAAAATCGCAATAACGATCAGAGCTTATCCGTACGTGAACGATTGGTTTTACAAACATTTGTACTTACCAGAAAGAATGATTGGGTCAATCTCATCGTATTCACGCAATACCCATACAAATAACCTTGCCAAGTCACGCGAATAAATGAACTGCCGTAGAGGTTTACCGGTACCAGAAACTACGAATGGAGTACCATTTTCTGTTTTGAAAAGAAGACGTGATGCGTTATTAGCCATATATCAAGAGAACGACGAGACATTGATATCTCCTCCTTACTTTTGGCCAAATAGCATTTATGCATAAGTCCAGGAATGACATGTGAATCTTCCAAATCGAAATTATCATGTGGCCCAAATACGTTGGTTGGAATGACTGAAGTATACTTGTCACCGAACTGATCGTGATAAGCCCTTTGTATCAAATGACGGCATTAGTTCCGATAATGAATATACAATATTCACTCCCAAACAATTATAATTACTTGTTTTGGACATCGATCATTCGTTTGGCGTGAGCGTAGCCAAAGTTGGAGTCGTGCGGGGGTCCATTATGAATCATGGTCTCATCAATTGGATACGTTGTCTTGTCGGGGAAGATACATGTTGACAAGCAAGACACAACCTTCTTAACCTTTTTACGATACCAACAATTAATAGTGAATAATGCTGGCGCCGTATCATCATCAAGAACCGACAATGCTTATATATACACATCTATTAGCTTACTTTGTAATCGCGAGCTGCGTGAGCTGTATGTAAAACGTTGTCATTGATCAATAAATTATCGCGCAAGAAATCCAATTTATATTTCATATTCTTAAATAGTCCTCCAACAAGCGCGGCCAAATGAATTACATGGGTTGGCTTGTATTTTTCAAATATCGCTTCAGTAGCCGCTTTTGATCTATGTTGACATTGTTGCAATCGATCTTATGTTAACACAATATCGAAATACATCCGTTGCTTTAATATTTACGTATCCCTCAACAGCTTGCATGTTCTCACCTGAGGTCACCATCTTTACTCGTCAAAAACACCCACTTCTCTCCGTCCTTCTTTCCAAACCTTCCTGTCTCATTCGTGATAACCCACTCAATGGCCTTTCCAACCAAACCAGAACCACCAGTGACGAGAATGACGCTTTCTTGACTCATGTCTTACTTTATGTGGGTATCGGAGTGTGTCGTAGAGGGAAAGATGATGCAAGGACTCTGGGAACAAACTTTGACCGTTATTGTTATGTGCTCGAGCACAGGTTGTCGTAATTGGTGTAAAAACTTCCCTCCATGTTGTAGATGTTGTGCCACATAAACAATTTGCAGGACGCCACGATTACACTTACCCCCATAAGAATTTAAAAATACATCAAGGTTAGTATTAGTATTTCACGAGTAATCATGTAATACATGTAAATCGCTATTATTACAACGGACAGGTTATTATGGTCTTTCTGTTCTTACTATTGCTCCATTCTCGTCAAATTCTGAATGCTATAAAGTTTACGTCATCAGTGGCACAGTTAAGCCACAGATGCACAAAGTGCAGCTGTCAAACGAGCCACGGAAAATATTTTGGAGAGGTGAGTTCCACACTTCATACGTGTAACATGCTAATCTATCTTCCCAATAATAACGTGAATTCTACAGACTTTGACATTTTATTTCTCGATATCTCTGACGCGATCAAAAGAATAATGCTATCAAAGGGATTGTAAACACAAACTGCTTGTGCAGACAGATCTCAACTGGAGAACCAAAAGTCGGCGTCCCAGTCTAAGTCTGACCATAGTTGGGACGAGTATGTATCCCTTCTTGGATTGCGAATAATGGATCCCATGACTGATCTGACAATGGTTATGGAAGTATCTGCAAGTTGCAACCGCACAGTTGCCTTTTTGACCTCGGGTGTTTTCTCCTCTACCAGTGACACTAGACAACTTTAGAAAGAATACGTTGTCGCTAATGCAGGAATCGGAGCAGTGAACTAATTTTAATCACCATCACGTGGCAGAAATTTTATATGTGAATACCATGCGCCAACTACTAATTTGGGCAATTCTTACTCAAATCTTAATACCACAGAGAATATAACGCTTTAGGATGTAGAAGTTTATGTCATTTGCGTTTCATCTTTCGCATTTGTCATGCACTACATAGTGCAAAATGGATTACAAGTGCATGTGAATATAACTCTAGAAAATTGTCGCTGGGCAAAAATAAATAATGTTTGAGGGTTTTTTTTTGGCGTAGTGAAACAGTTTTTGGTTTTGGAAACCGATATAAATAGTTGGCTGATATATTTCTGGAACTAGGATTTCGACGATTTACCAGATAAAATCTTGTAATGTATTTCAATAAGCAAAATTCTCTCACGCTTCCGACAAAAAATCTCAACCAGTTAAAGATTTGCCTCTGTATTTAGTATGTAATGTTACCAACAACTTTGACTTGATGCTGTTGGTTCTTCTATTACGAATAACATGCCTGATTTAATAAAAACCTCCGACCATTAGATTAAGATGGATATACCACGTACTCTGAATTATGATTTTGAATATAGAACATAATCGTTGTAATTGACGTCAACTGCATGAGGTTTAATAAATTGTATTCGCTGTATTATTCAAAACTGGTCATTAGCAACTTGAGTTTCCTACAGCATTGATCTGGATGAGATGCTCAGATACAGTAATTATTAATTCAAAGGGGGTTTCAAAGGGGGTTTCAAAGGCGTTTTTGCATTGCTTTTAGCCATCCACATTTTTAATATTAGGGAGGCAATTTACTAACTAAACGAAAGATAATCGAGGCAACCACAAGCTTGCATGCTTGTCACATGCTGTATATAAACTGTACTTTTTTGTTGCTACAATGTCTATTCTGACTCGAGCTTTAATTTCAAATTTGCCACTAGATTAATATATAATTTAGCCGAGCTGCTTGCATCTAATGGAAGGGAGATCTTTTTCAGGATGCCTGACAGTTTGAAGTTAGTTCAGTAAAAACACATGCAGATGGTCGACACTGCATATGCGTACTTGTCTCAAGAATTAGATGCAATCCTATAACGAGATAAACATGCTTAATGCCTCCGATTACCAAGGTAACGTCAACCAATAAAAAGCTTGCAGAAATCGGTGCAGGATTATTGGGTCGTGAACATCCGATTATTAATTGATTGGTTTCGCAGTTGTGTAATAGTGTCCTGCACGCGCTGGCAGAGTGTAACTGTCTCCATCTCCAAGTATTTAAATCGGATTAACCTTCACACTTTTTACAAATAGGGAAACTAACCATGCACAAAGGACATTACAACACACATTGCTAATTTATCACCTTATTGGGCACAATATCAACCATCACATTCTTGCGCGGGTCGATCTGCTCGATTAATAGGGTTTAGGACTTGGATGATTATTTTGATGTAACATTAACTTTAAGCTGTATGTTTACACAATTATAATTATGCGCCAACAGAAACATTCTAATGCTGTAGTACGAGGCTGTTTAACCGTCCTACTCACGGGTTGTGAGATTAAAATTGTAAAGCACCTTTTGCAAACATGCCACGTGAATCGAGGTTGTCATAACAATGACGAAAACGAATATAACAAACAATACGATTCTAGTGTAGTACCTGTGCGATGCTTCAATAATAGCTGTACAGGGACAACCCCGAGTTATCACTTGTTTTAATAATAATGTACAAAGGGACAAACAATAGCACATAAATTATAACAATCCCGCAAATATAGACCGAATTCATATTTTAGCACAAGACGTCCTCGCAAGTCTTTTCTAAAGGCTTTATAAAATTCCATTCTCTTGAATTTCATCGAGCTTTCTAACTCATCGTATTCTTACACGTGACTACGCTCATTACAAACAGAAAAGCCGAAACATATTGTGTGAGTAACGCGAGCATAGAAAGTGGTAACACATCTAAACACTCAGCCAGCTTAAACGTTTGCCTTTTCTCTTTTCTGCTAATTTGCAGATTCCCCAAGAATAGTCATCACGGACACTACTACTAACACCATCTCTCCCTTCCTCCGATTTCACTCTATATCCTTAGATACCACGACGTCTATAGACACTACTATTACATACGTTCTAAACGTTGTTTCAATAAACAAACACTCCTTATTATAGACTTCATCCCACCTCAAGTCATTACTTAATACTATTTATATAACTCATCCGAATCTTTTAAAGAAGAACAATAATCAAAATATTGATATTTAATATACTAATCGAGTAGTACTCATGACTTTCTTTTCAAAACTTACTAATAAGAGTGGACCTATATACCCATGGTCACAAAAAAAGCTTAATATAACCAATCCTTTTCCGAGAGTCGGACACTCTGCAAGCCAGAGTGCTAGAGACAATGATATATTTATATTTGGTGGTGTAGCAAAAGGCAGAGCTAGGAATGATGTTTATCTATTGGAAGCGAGTGAGTATACATGGAAGGAATTGGAAGTGGGAATGTGATGAAAGGAGATGCTTGTAATCCGAGTTGACGTTAAATAAATGTCACACTGATAGTGTGGAAACGAACTCAACCACATATTCTTAATATCCTGCAGACACACTCAACGTACAAGCAATATCAACGACTGGTGATATACCTCCTCCACGAAGTCGACACACTCATGTTATCATAGGTCAACAGATGATTGGTTAGTGATTAAGTTCTGTCAATTCTGTTGGATCGATTTACGAGAATTTAAAGAACTTGAAAATTGTTCCATGAGTTAATCAAAGACTATGAAACTTACGTACTATAAATAAACCAATTATTCTATTCATCTATAGTATTTGGCGGCCTGGTCGCAAATCCTGAAGAAAACCCCGATGACAATATTTTTATTCTCAATATTGGTAATTTCTATTCGTTTAATGGCCTTCATCGTTCACTTGTTCAGTCAGGTATTAACGTTCTTTCCAACTGCTGCTACAGAAACAAAAAGTTGGATACAACCAACAATAATAGGCAATCATCCAATAGCACGATATGGCCATGCAGCAACAACAGTAGGGACAAAGATGTATATTTTTGGTGGAGAGGCTGAAGGATACTACATGAACGATCTTTTGGCTTTGGATGCTGCATCAAGTAAGTAAAAAAGAAGAAGGATGTTTGGAAGATCGATAGTAGGCGGGAAGGAGTTGGAGAGATTTCTAGATGCTCTGTCATGCCGCGGAAGGCAAATGCGAGATTCGGATATAGATTAGAAGTGGAAGGCAGTAATAATAATAATATAACAGCCGCATTGAATGAGAATATTAATTATATTCAGTGAACTCCGGTGAAGCAAGATGGGAAGTAGTTGTGTCTGCAAACGACCCTCCGTCTGGACGATCAGGGCACGTTGCCGTAACATTTAATGAGAAGATTTACATGTACGTGTGTCATTTTCCTATGATTATTCTGTTTTCGTTTAAGTGAATATCTAATTCCCAAGTCTGTTTAATCTTTCCATATCGACATCGTCTTCTTTTCGGTACCGTATTAATGCATTGCATCTCTATTCCTTTTTTTCTTTTCTACCAGATTTGGTGGCACTGATGGTAAAAGACGCTACAACGATACATGGTGCTACGACATTCGTTCAAATACCTGGACAGAGCTTGTATGTATTGGCTACATACCTCTTCCACGCGACAGCCACGGCGCTACGCTTGTAGGAGACGTATTATATGTATTTGGTGGAAAAGGACCAGAAGGAGAAGAACTCGGTGATTTGGCTGCGTTTAGAATCACAAGTTCGTACTATTTCGGTTTAAATTTTCAGTGTGGGATGTACAGTGAGATGAGTGTACATAGTATCAAATCTCACATCAAATACAAAGTGTTTAAACTAGTGCATGATGTTAATTAAATACATTTTGATGATTAGATAAGCGATGGTACATGTTCCAGAAGATGGGACCATCACCGTACCCCCGACACACAACGGTTTTGTCTGCGTGCAGAGAAAAAATTTTTGTTCTTGGTGGTGACAGTCTTCACAGAGCTAAACCCGATGAATCAGGAGTAATACATGTTTTAGATACCGGTAAGAATATATAAAGTGGTTTTATGTCAGCACTCTTCAAATGAATCAATAATTCACTCTTAATTTGTATATCGTATCGTTAAGCCAAAATAAAATATCCTGACAGTTCAAACAGATCACAGCAAGCGCCTCCACCCCAACCTCAACCTCAAACACAAACTCAAACACAATACCAAAGATATCCGAATGGCTCCATTACCTCCCAGTCAAGTGGAGACAGCCTACGTGGCCCACCATCTCCAACTCAAACTTTCCCCCGCAGCCAATCATTAGCAGACTCTCGTTCAAACTCACTCACAAATGACGCTCAAAGATATCAGCGAACTCCATACGGCGACCCTATTCCATACGGAGCTAACGACCCCCGGTTTCAGGGTCCGCCCCGACAAGGCTCACCGAAAACTGGTCCAGAAGGAATGATATACACGAATCAAATGTATGGAGGGCAACAAGCTAACGGGACTGGGCAGGGAAGTCCTCGCGGACAGACGTTCCCAAAGAGGCAAATGACTGGTAACAATATTGCCCCGAGAGGTCCTGAAGGGCAGATGATAAGCCGTGGCATGTCTCCAGACAACACACGAAATGATGGGACCTTGCCCAATGCCAGAAATTCGCCGACAGAACAATTCCGGTACATGGAATCTACTCCCACCACACCCCCCGGATCAGCACAAGCCCCGTTTGGGCGTAAACAAAGTATCGAATCCCTCCGCAAACAGACTCCTTCGCCACAAGGTAGTAGACAGCAGAGGAGTGTAGATAATCTTCGAGAAGCAAATGGGTTTAGATCGCCCCGATCTGGCCCGGAAAAGACAGCAGCTGAGTATGGGCCAAAGGATTTTACTAACCCGCGAGCAGCGCCAAGGCCACCGCAGGGTGGGGTCAGAGTGAATAATGTCGGAATGCAGAATAATAATATGGGAGGTCAAGTTGGTATGGGAATGCAGAATAATAATATGGGAGGTCAAGTTGGTATGGGAATGCAGAATAATACTAATATCGGAGGCCAAAGTGGTGTGGGTATGCAGAATTATAATATGGGTGTTCAGGGTGGTTTGAGTTTGCAGAGTAATAATATAGGGAATCAAGGCGGCGTAAGTATGAATCCGCCGCCTGCACAAAGCCAGGGATCATTTACAGGTGTTAATCAAAACGCTGATACGAATACGCAGCAATTGATAGTTAATACTAACAAAGCACAAGGTAGCGTGCTATATGGCGGTACATTCTCACCAGGAACATCAAGTGGAAGTCCAACGACCATTCGCTCCCCAATGTCCCCGACGGAAACTATGAAGCTTGCTGATCAATTTCCCACCCCTGTGTCGAATGCAGAACGAGATAGCTTCCTTCGCGAGTTGCAACAAAGAGATGCGGCCATTTCTTTATTGAAAAAACGAGAAAACTGGTTCCGCACAGAACTTGCCTTTGCTCGGAAAGCTGGTTTTTCCCCCGACTTTAGTCGCGATGCCGACATGTCCGAGGATTCTGAAGAACAATTGTTGAATGTAGGCGAGCCAAATTCGGATAAATACAAGTTAATTGTTGCGTTGATGAAAGTAAAACAGGAACTTCGTCGAGCCAAAGCAACAATAGCGAGCCAGGCACAGACTGCATCCTTGAAAATCACAGAGTCAGAACGTATACGTACCGCAGCGCTTCAAGAAGCTGCTTATTTCAAAGCCAAATTGACAGCGTTGGTGAACGCGTCAGAAACAGATCTAGCGCAGATTGAATCACAACGTGCCGCAGAACTTGAGAAACGATTAACTCAGGCTTTAACCGAAAAAGAATCCTCTCAAGCTAAATTAATTCAGTACCAACAATCATCAAGTTATGAGATACAAGCAAGAGAATCGGCTGAGGAACGAGCAAAGGCCGCAAATGCAAGAGCAGAAGAAATGGAAGAATCACACGCCCGAGTATTAACCGAACTGGCTACATTGCATTCGAGAGCTACTGCTGCCGAGACTTCTCTGAGGCAAGCTAATACGCGATTGGCGGAAACTAACGCTGAATTGGCGCAGCATCGTGTCAAGTCATCAGGTTCGCAAGGACAATTAACTCAACTACAATTGTCGCTTGATCAACATCAACGCGCTCTCGAGAAAGCTAACACTGCTTTGGGTGCTGCCAATGAGCGCGCTTCTGAAGCAGAATCTTTATGGAGACAAGCTCGTCAAGACCGTCAAGATATAGTTAGTTTGGAAAAAGAAGCTGCAGGACTGAGAGCGGAATTAGATGTGAAAATGCGTGATTTGGATCGTGCATATGCAAAAACTGATGAATTAGAACGATTATTAGCTACTGCTCAAAAAGAAGCAGATGCTGTTCGTGCAGTAATGCAAGAAAGCATGACCGAGCTTTTGAATACGTCGCGTTCCGGAACCAATGACCTCAATACCTCTGATCTGACCCGTAGATACAATGAACTTGAACAGGAAGTCGAAAAGCTTAAAATTGCTCGTAGTGACAGTCAGACTGCAGCCGATGAGGCTTCAAGGTCTCTTGCCGAAGCTATGGGTAGGACTTCTCATTTAGAAGCTACTAATATCAAGTCTCGGTCCGAAAATGCTTCCCTACAAAGAAGGCTGGCCGAAGCTACGGATGAAATCGCACGATTGAAAGATAAAATACGTGAAAAGGAACGAGAGCTAGAAACAAAAACGCAAGTGCTTGAGGAGGCCGACGTTAAAATAGGAATGATGAGAGATGTCATGTCTGAGAAGGGCATTCTTGACAATGGCGGAACGAGCAGTATGGCAATACGGTATAAAGAATTAGAAGCTCGATATGCAGAACTCGGATTCGTCCATGCAGAAACGTCAAATCAGCTTTCGGAAGCTCGTGCAAAGTGTGAGGAAGCAATTCAGATTGCGAAAGAGGCAGAAGGACGCATAAAAAACCTTGAATCACAGCTTGAACGAGCAAATGATAAAAATACTTCAAATACACTCACGGATAGCAGCAAGGATTCGGATGCGGGTGCTGTTGCAGATGCTGATGCTTCTAGGCGTGAATTAACCGAAGTAAAGCAGCGTCTGCAGCAAGTAGAATCGGACTATCAAACCGCGGTTCATTACGTCAAAGGTAGCGAGAAGATGTTGCGAAGAATGAAGGAAGAATTGACGAGGAGTCAAACAGAAAATGGAAGGATAAATGAAAAGTTATTACAAATGCAAGAACGTTCTGAGGACCTTGAGGAGAAATTGGCAGATGCAGAAAATCAAATGACAGTCAGAAGAGGCGCTCGTGAATCTCGGATACAAGAATATGCTAATGCACGTCTTGAAGAACAGCGAAAAGACTTTGATAAAGAAAAGCAAGCTCTGCAGCAACAACTGACTGATATTCAAGTACAATTAGAGCGCTCAAATAACGATAAAGCAATGATGGATCAAGAATATGAAGTACTACGGAAAGAATACGAGACTCTCAAGAATCTTCATGCTCAAACCACTCAGCAATTAGATAATCTTGGAGCTGAACTAAAACGGGCGCAAGAAGTGCTCCAAGCAACTCGAACAGAATTGGAAGAGACATTGAATCTGAATGAACATTTGAACCGGGAACTTGACAACGCTTTGAACGGATCACCTCGAAAAGAAAATGGGTTGCAAGACACTACCAGACACTCGATGGAACGCCAGCAGTGGGATGAGCATCGCACTTTGCTTGAACGCGAGATTGGTGAATATCGTACCAAGACAGAAACACTTGAAAAGGAAAACGTTGAATTGAATCATAAAATTGGAATCCTTCTCGATCAGATGGAGCATGCTGTCGACACGTATCGCGGTATCGAAGTAAACATTCGCGACAATAGCCCGCGAAACTCTGGTGCTCTTGATTCGATAGCAAATGAGTTAGACGCCCTCAAGTCCCAATGGGATGAAACTCAGAAGAACGTTGATGTAAGCGTTGATGATAGATGGAGTCGCCTTCCAGAGAACAACAATGACAATGTTCGCGTTCCATCTCGTTTAGAAGAGTATGATGATATGATAAAGGCTTTGGATGAGGTACACAAGTCTGCTGCAACAAGAAATCTGGTACCGATGTCACCAAATAGCAGCCAGAATAGTCAAGCAATGAGCAATGGATCGGGATTGATTGACCACATTAGGAGTCAGTTGAGTCTTACACCACCGCCGACACCTCCTGGACCTTCGCCATGATTGGACGTGTGAATCCCTTTTTAGTTGATAATTTTGTATAGTAATAGTAATAATAGGATATTTGTCGAATTTGCAGTTGAGTCAAATGTAGCATGGATTGTCTTCAGATGTAGATAAACTAGAGGGTTTCAATAATTATCAAAATAAAGGAAAAGGATATTATTAACTATTAAACTAATTTGCTAATAAGAGTGTCTGGATTCTTCTGGACTTCGTTCTCAAAGTTTCGGACAGTATCTTGATGGTTACGAGTAAACCGTGATTTAAGCCGAAGAATTTGTACTTACTATTTGAGTGCTACCATAACAAATGCAGTCATTAAGATGCTAACGCTAATGACAATCAGCCGCAAGTTACAAATCAAAGAGATATGATTATAAGTGTTCTTCTGTAAATTCCATAAATATCTTTCATGGTGTTGGGAACTTTCAGTGATTTCCCCGACTTCAAAGTGCAAGAATTAACGACAATACATTTATAATAAATAATATAATCTGAATTCCCCATTTTTGCCCACGTGTACAACAATATTAATATTAGGAAATGTTATTAAACATCTTCGTGACTTGGATACATTCTAATTCGATATTCGAATCAAACAGTTTATTGTTTGCGTAAAAACTCTGTCGTTTGCTTGCGTATAGCACGGTTATTAAAAAGAAAAGGTGTGTGATTTGAAGCATTCCGTATAGGATACGAGAACGCGTGGTGAGCGCGTAAAGAAGATAGTGGGAGCTATATTGCAAAATAAATGTCATAGGTTTAATTCATTTAATTGCTTTCAACATTCTTACGAGAATGTTAATGTTTGGTAAAATGAACCGCTTATACTAATTTCTCGACAATATAATGTTTGGTAGGGCGTCCGTCTTTACCTCAATTTCAACAGATTTAGCTGCGTTGTTTATTAAAAACATAATGACTATAACGACTGTGAACCAAGAAGAATGGGTCTGCAACGCCAACGACGTTTTAAAACTACGTCTTGGTAACCACTCATAGTTTTATTTTAGCAATTGATTGCGTTGTTTGTTTTGAGCCATTTTTTCATACTCCCTTCTGCTTCCAAGTCTGTGCACACACATCCGATCCATACGAACATCCCGAAGGCGAATACCACCAATTGTTGCCCCAATTCACTTATAGTCTTTTCGGTCCATTGCAACAGATATACGGGTACAAAAACTTAAAGATAAAGCTCTACTACGCTGCGGGAAGTCTGGTAACATATTTGGATGTAAGTTATGACGAAAAGATTTCTGATCATTTGCCCGGTGCCAAGCCAACTGATGTTATTGGAATCATACGAGAATACATACCCGAAGGTAAACGAGTCGAACGATTTAGAGGATGAAAAGGAGAAAGAAGGAATAAACCACAAGTGATAAGTGTGAAATAGTCAAATTGACAAGCAATTATCAATGGGGAAACCGAAAAGGCTAATACCGACAAAATGGTTCACCTTTCTGTAATATGTGTGATAGGCTTTATGACAAACTACGACACATTTCTTCAAAGAGTGCAGAAAGATACGCATGCGTTTGTTCCAATGGGCGAGAAGATAAGCGAATACCGCCTTTCGGATGACGACAGTACGGTTTACGAGATTTACAAGGTTTGTATTTGTACATGGAGAACATTTACTTTGATCGTGATAGAAATTTAACTGGTTATTCTTATCGTCATGTAGGCCAATTTTAACACGCCTGGTTTCAAAGAATATCACAGTAGACTTCAGCTATTTGTGCTTTTATATATTGATGGTGCACGCTATATTAACGAGGATGATGAGAAATGGGAGATTGCTCTTGTGTGAGTATATAGTCTAATAAGACAACACATTTCAAATCGCTTGCTTAACTTTTCGCAGGTACAAACTAATCGCCGTGATATTCCAGCTTCCAGAAAAAGTCAACAGGCGATTCAAATATATATAATATAATAGGCTATTGTACGATGTATGCATTCTTCTTTTACGAGAAATGTGAAGGTTCTAAACCGTTATCGGAAATCAAAGACATATCCAATGAATTAAATGAAACGTCGAACTTTTCGTATTCTACAAGATTGAGGATAAGGTATGGGAAGCAACTTTAGTGGGCATATCTTTTGGATGCCATTGCAGAGTTAACGTATTTATCGTGGTTTGCGTCATTTTTATTTAATGTTTGTAGTCAATTTCTGATTCTACCTCCTTATCAGAAACAAGATCATGGAAGTAAGTTATATATGTTATAGAACAATTATTATATGCGTTTACCTTTGATTGTAATTTGTTGTCAATAGGCAGACTGTATCAGGCTCTTTATAGGAATTTATTGGCTAATCCATGGATCAAAGAACTGACTGGTAACGAGTAGTTGTAATTTCTAATGTTGCATAATACGTTTGTCAGCTAATGTGGTAAATACATTCACCAGTCGAAGATCCCAATGATGCTTTTAGCGATCTCCGAGATAAAAATGATTTAATGTATCTCGTGGAAAATAAAATAGTCGAAGGTCTCCCCATACCATTAGATAAAAGCAAAGTAGAGGAAGTGCGCCGAAAATGCAAGCTGGATCAGGTTAGTTCAATGACGAATGTGATAAGTAATTGGTACAATAAGTAACATTCTTTTGATGAAATTATTTTAATAGCGACAGATGCATAGATGCATAGAAATGTTAATGTTGAAGAGACTGAATAAATCGGATGTTAACGCTTACAAGGCATATCGAATACAAGTGAAAAAACGATTATATAATCATAACAAGGTCTGTCCCCTGTTTATTATTTTGTCGTCCAAACATGTCTGTGTACATATGTCAATTATATTCTCTCAATTTTCTTCAATAGGACGTACTCTGCCAAATGAGTAAGTCGGAAAGAATAGAAAAACTCGCCGAGACATATATTAGTATCGAAGAAGATTACTATCGAATCTTGTCGTTATAATATCAACGGTACAACCAGCATGTGAATCTGCAGATAAAAACTTTCATAGGGCCTGTACAGAAGAATAGAATTGACAAAATTTCGGTTGCAAAATCGACTATAACTCGAGCACACGAGAGACGTTTTGTATTCCTATAATACATATACGAAAGGGCTTTCTATCTCATCATACTCTACTGCAACCTCACTTAATAATTACTTCAATGAAAAGTATTCATCCCGACGCTCTCTTCCGTTGATGATTCAATAAATAGCGTTTGGATTAGATTATTTGCTTTCTTTCTTTGTCTCTGGCTTGGGCAGAAGATTTTCCAGTTTAAACGATTCAGGACGATTATCCTGTCCAGGACCTGCAAAATTTGAAGAGTAATGTTAGATTATCAACAAGACAAAAGGGTAAAGATCGATCGATACATGTGAATTATGTTTAATTATCAACTTACCAGTCTGTTCCCAAGGCGAAGCCGCCCCTTCAAAATTCCTAAACGCCTGCGTCATCTCCAATGGCTCAGCCACAACTCTCTTCTTCTCCTCGTCATATCTAACTTCTACATATCCTGTCAGAGGGAAATCCTTCCTCAATGGATGTCCGTCGAAGCCATAGTCTGTCAAAATTCTTCTCAAGTCCGGATGATCAACAAAGAATATTCCGTACATATCGTATGCCTCTCGCTCGAACCAATTTGCACCCTCAAATAGACTAACAATAGACGGCACAGGTGTCACTTCATCAGCATAGGTTTTTACTCTGATCCGAGCGTTGTAATGAACGCTCAACATGTTATAAACTACTTCGAAGCGATTCGAGCGAGTGGGATAATCAGCTCCACAAATGTCTTGAACTTGTTTAAATTGACATCCGGTGTGATCGCGTAAGAACGTTGTTACGGGGATGAGAGAGGATGGGGCTATGTAGATTGTTAGTTCGTCTTTATAGACCGAGTACTGTTGAATGTATTTGGGGAGCATTGACAGCAGATATTTGCCATATTCATGCAGAGATTCGGAGCCTGTTTCTGGGTTTTGGGTGGGTGATGATGAAGATTCTGCAGCTGCGAAGAATATAGGGACGGTGGGATCATTAGATATCGATTATCATGGTTAAAATTGAGGTAATTGGAGCACGAATACCTTGGTAGGCAATTGAAGTTGAAGAGAATGATCTCTTATTCAATAGGACAGGTGTTCTAAGCGGAACTGTCCGTGTAAGATACGGGGCTACTATGTATAGGTGGGGTGGAATAGTAACGAGTTAATGATATAAAGTTGGAATTAATGTGTTTTGCAGCTTAAGCATGTAAGTCGCGGAATACTCTGTAAAACCAACAATATCTTACTATTGAGTATTTTTGGATTATACAGTCTGGCCACTCCATTAAACTTTGATGCTAGTCTATTCAATATCATGCTTGAGAGACTAAACAGTACAAGTATGTGAAAATGAGCAGGAAATAATCAAACTTTGATCCACCAATCATATTGTCGTGCAAATAGTTAGGAATTTGTAGATTTCAATAAGAACGATAACTTAACCATGCAATCATTCCGTGCCATTCTCCGTCCATACAAAGCATGCCATTCTCTCTCCCCTCACACTTATCCTGCTCCTTTATCTTTATCTTTATCTTTAACTTTACCCCGCCCTCTCTATTATAGCACCAAACAATCCAAGCCAATTCCTCCCAAATTCGTCCAACGCGTATTCCTAACCGACGGCTCGTCCTATGTCTATCACACGACGTCTCCGAAACCACAGGTCAAGCTGGTAAAGGATACGCGAAACCATCCGCTATGGAATGAATACTCTGATGGTGTGGGTTTATTCGATGAAAGTGGTCAATTATCGAAATTCAGTTCACGATACGGTGAGACGGATTTTGGATTGGAATTTTTGGAATCAGATGAGAAGTTGCCAGAATTGAGCGCTAAGGAGGCCGCAAAGATGGCCAAAGCAAACCAGAAGAGTAAAAAGAAAGGAGGAAAATAGTTATGGATTTCGTGTGCATTCAGATAATTAACTAGGTTGGTATTATATATCGACGAATACATGGGCTTGGAGAGAAGCTTTGTTTTTGAGGAGATGGATAAGCATACATTTTTATTGATAAATAAATCGGGTTTTTAATCAGATTGCTTAGCTTATAATAATAATTGCTACTATTGAACTAGCATTTCTGTTTAGTCATTGGATAAAGCATTTATTATTATGTAAATGCTAATATAAACCGGTCACGTGTTATTTCATAAACACTCTATACAGTGGTTCTAACCGATTGAAGATAGGACAATCTGAATGGATTGGAGTCGGCCGGGCCTATAATCGAACGGTAATATTAGGATCTACGATACTAAGATGATGCGTATTACTTGATTGCATAGCAAAGTCTTACGATTAATAGGTGTCCATTTCGGCTCGTCTTTAAAAAGCCCTGTAGAATTAACATACGTAGCGACAGTAAATTGAGCAGCAACACAGACAAATAGAATGAGTAAATAAAGATATAATGTAAATAAACTCAGTTACTTTGCATTCTCACTTACTCATAGCTTCTATGTAATTGTTGGAATCAAGCGTAAAGCGGTGATAGATTCCTGCCGGCTATTATTCGGCACGAAGGGTTAACTAGGGTTTATCAATTTCTCCACAGAATTCAGTCATAAACGTAAACGCATACTCACCAGGACAAGTAGGTCGCCTGTCGTGAGAGCGATGCGAATCCATCGGTCTTGTTCATCTAAAAGACAAAGAAGAAGAGCACAATGTAAAGTTGTGTTTTCAAGTCAAGTGTGTTTTAATTCATGTCTTGTGCAATTATCTATAGTTTGTAAATTACAACCTCTCACGTCAAAGTATCCTGATCCGTCAAGAATATAGCGAATCTCTTCATCTTCATGGAGGTGCCTGGTTTAGTCAAACATAATAATAAGATTAACCATCGGTTTATCTGCTATTACTGATTCAATATTCTATAAGCATACATACTCTTCGTAGAACGTCTTCAACTTGCTCTCATACACATCTCCCATTGCTTCTTTGGAGACTTTAATCTACAATAATTGTTACCAAAAATATAAAGTATCAACATTTATTCTTTATCTTTTTTTTCCTGTATCTTCATTTACACTCACAACATCACGATTTCTGTATGATCTTTCTTGAGCAACAGCATTAATCTGCTCCAGCCAATCGTCTCGTTTTTCAATTCTCCAGTAGAGCACTCCGAGTCGACCTAATTCTTCTGGTGTTACTGGAGAAAAGGGTGTATACTCGTGCGGAAGGCGTTGGTCAGCTGTGTTGTCACCGTCGTGGTGGTAAGCTCGCATTGTGAAGCAAAGAGAAAATGCGAAAGAGGCGAGAATTGGCTGAAGATTGTCGTTACTCTTAATATAGTAACGATCGTAACTAATACAAAGAATATATGCCAAGAATTAAAAATGTGCATCAATTTAAAAATGCCGCATATTTTTTTATTTGAATTTGCGTTGGTAATGTTTCGATCAATATAGTAATAGCAACAAAACATAGTAATTTGGACAACAGTTAGGTCTTTTGTTCGCTCTTTAAAACTCGTAGAGCATTTCTCGGCTTGCCTACGTTAAAATCTAGTTTATGACAAAAGTCGGAGAAGTGGCAGTGCCAAGTCGATTAGTCGTATTTTCATTGCTTTGGTATTTTGTCTCGGTTAAACAAATTTTAATTTGCTAAAATTAGTACACACAAATTAAACACTTGATTTACTAAGAATAATCGAGACAACAGATAAGAGTGGTAGTGTCATCTTCTCGTTTGACTTGTAAGATTGACGATAGCTAGTATCCTCTGGAGGAACAGGGAATGGTCAACACTTTATCTTAACAAATACTTGTAAACAGAAGGGTTGTTGTATTTAATAAAACCATCTTTCAAAAATTGCAAGTCCTGGTGAATTTTTAACGACGCGCGCAACCAGATTACTAGTCGTTGACATTAAATTATCATAGAGTACGGGAAAAGCCTTTAACAGAATGCAAACATTATATTGTGTTCACACGTTTCGGAACAAACACATAGTGGATAAAATTCTAAATATTGCAACAACTAATATTGTGTTTTTATTAATTATAGATATCACTTAAAGAAACATTTAGCTATCTTTAATCGTATAAATATTAACAAACATACAGAATAAACTTATTTAAATTTTCAGACTATATGGTTTAGATTCAGCCTCGCTAAAGTTATCACCATCGACCTCAGTTTTCTCTTCGCCATCCGGACGTGGTTGTTCCTTCTGTTGCTCTTGCTTCAGCGTTTCTTGTTTACGCTGCAACAGCACTTCAACCACACGATCGACATTCCCATTATAACGTTTTAGTAAATCCTCATTCTGAACATTGTCTTCGAATCCCATTGCATTCAGTAGTGTGATCTTCTCGGACACATTGAAATTGGCATCAGCATTGCTACCACTGCCGTTGCTGTATGCAGATCGCTGACGGCACGCATACCTACAACTTCTTTCTGACGCAATTGGTGCCCCAAATCTTGCCCCGTTACATCTATTTCTCCCGTTCTTCCAATTACATGTCTTTGCAGACTCGGAGCCTTTGGTTGAACTCTCTGCTCGTTTCTCGTCCGCCGGGGATGTAGGAGGTCTTGTAACATATATAGTTGGAATACTCCTCGGAGTATAAAATGGAGCGTATGTGTAGGGTGTAAAATATCGAAATGCGGCGTCGTCATCATCAAAAAATGAGAATGGTGTGAAGAATGGGTTGCTATAGAATGCATTGAATGGTGTCCGATGATGCCATGGAGCATATAGTAGTGGATGACCGAACACGGGTCTAGGGGCGAACATTGGATGTGGATGACTGCGGAACGTTATGTAGATCCTATCATAGGATTCCGAGTTGTCGTTTTCTGGGTTAGCCGTTCGTTTACAATTCGCATTTTTCCCACACCTATTTTGGCAACTGCGTTGATCATTGCAACAATTACTAGAAGCATTCTCTTTCTCTTTCCCGAATTTTCCAAATCCACAATTACTAGAAGCATTCTCTTTCTCTTTCCCGAATTTTCCAAATCCAAAATTCCTGAACGACTCCAACCAATCAGTATAATCCTGTACATCTACAAATGATCCAGCTAAGATACGATCCATTACAACATTTACACTGTCGATTAGTTGTGGATTTCGGTCGAAAACATCTTTAAATTGGTCAAGTATATTTTGGAATTGCTCTACAAGATCCATAAATGGTGGCCGTGACGTGTTCTCTGGATGTGGATTATCCGACAAGGTACGTGTCGGTGAGTCATCCTTTTCTTTACCCTTGTTGACAGAGCGAGTGGTTGAGTCGAGTTCGTCTTCGTCCTTTTCGTCCGTTAGAGTTACTGAGCGATAACTTGGTGGGCTTGTGAGTGGTGGGAATTCAGTATGTTCAATAGAAGATTTGGCATTCAAACGTGCCTTGTCGGAACCTTCCGTATCGGAAAATGGATTTTCGCCAAATTTACTTTCTTCAACTATCCAGCTCTCATCCCCACTACTATCATCTTTCTCACTACCCGTTGATAATGTCAATTTAACCGTCGATCCTTCATGTGAAGCAAGTTCACGTAGATCCGAATCATTCGACAATGCAATTGCATCCCCATCCTTATTGATGTACGAAACGATTATCATTTTCGAGGATGGAATCGAGAATAGCATGCGGAGCTTTGAAGAGAGGTCGCTCCAGGTGGTGGACTCGGCGATGACATGCTTGGTTTGTTTGTTGTAGGTTGCTTCGAAGTGAATAGTCATTTTGATTAAATTGACGTTTGTAGGTAATTGTTGATTGAGTTGTTATTTTCCCTGATTTCAGATTTCGTTCTTCCTCCATCGACCCTATATTTATGTTTGGATGACCTGTTGACGTGTAATCAACGTACGCTCGGTGATGTAATCTTAATATTGTCGTGCTTTTGATGATGCAAGCCAGAAGAATATTGTAGATTGTTTTAGTAATCAACGTCATCATTTTCGACTAAACGTCATTATTTTCTCGACCAATCATGGTTATGAGAAAGTTGAAAGAATATTAATATGTAACATCGGCTAATTGCCCTACCGAATATGAATGCGGGACAAATGTATATGCGCAACCCTTGTATGCAGAAGCAAGGATTTTCATAAAACTCGTTACGTACTTAATATTAATAATATTTTATCACACGTTAAGGAACATATGTAGCGACGAAGTATTGTACTAATAGAGATGGTAAGCATCCTGTGTCTGTTGCTGTCCGGACATGTACTATGACTATTATGCTGCTTAATAATGGCAGGCGATCGAAAAAGCCAAAATAACATAATAATAGTTTACATTGTAATATTGTAATATGGCAATTCACCCAACTATAAATAATTTTAAATGTCATAACTGTTATTGACAACCAGTTATATCGTAGTTTACACAAGCTAATGCTATAATTATAATAATAAATAGTCGACGGGTGGTTTACAATAATACGAATAAATAGAGTACAACGGTTTCACGTAAAACTATAAACCAGGCTTCTTAACTTGCATGTTCGCTGGCATTCTGTGCGTCCCTCGACCATGGAACCTGTCAGCCAACAAGGACAACCATGTGATTGCGATATTTCAAGAAAAACACTAGTTTATTTACATTTCTTATGCATAGAATTTGTATACTTTATTGTTTTACAGGCTAACCAACCTGTCCATTCTCCTGGCTTTGTTCTGAAAAAAAAAAAAGATGAAGAAAAGGGGATCAAAAGTGGCTACTCGATTATCAAGGCAATATTAAAATAAGCATAGCATAATGTCTGATTGATTGCTGTTGAAAATGAGCAGAAATGCTGCTTATCCTACGAAAGGGGGGGGGGAGAGAAAGTCCGAATAGTAAAATATAGTCTTATAGATTGGAAAAAGTAAAAGGTAATTAAGAACTGTGCGAAAAGGTGAAATAAATGGGGTCCATAAGAATATAATACAAATAGTAAAATATGAGTGTTGGACAGTATACACCATATCAAGAAAAAACCACCGGTACAACTTAATTCTCGTTCCACTACACCATCAACAAAAACGTCTCTACTATAGATCAGGATAATAGTGATGATAATTTCTCTCCATTCCATTTTATACCTAACTGGTAAATGTCTTTAGTTGATTTAAATTTTAAAAAGGTAAAATAAAATGGAAGGAAGCTCAAAATCTTTTTACAAAAAAGTCCATCAATTATGAATAAAAAGAAAAGAAAAAGTAGCTAGATTTGTAGCTAATCGGTGGAATTACAATAATCCGATGTTCCCTTTAACAGCCGGGGCCATTCAATTCATCAACACTTCCTGCCCTTCTATAATTCTATCCATTCACTCCGTTCTCTATAATATATTTGCTTAGACTTTAAGCCTTTTCTTCTCGGGTTCTCCGTTTCCAATCCCGTTTACTTCATCATCATCTCCAGGTGCCGACCTGACATTCTTCCCCGATACACCATCTTGTTTAGCTAGCGGCGAAGGGTGGTGTGCTTGCGACCTACTATGTGGTGGCCAATGAAATGCGCTTGTCTGTGCACTAGTCGGAGTTTGAGAAAACGCTAGTGGAGATGGGAGCTCTGATTTGTAAAATTCGTTGAAAAACGTGGACGGAGACGGAAGATTCGGTCCGAATTGAGAGGATGTTAAGGCTGATGTTGGACCTGCGTCCGCAGTAGTTGGTGTCGGACGAGTGGAGAGCTAGGGCAATGCGGATTTGAGATAAGGGGAAGAGAGAATTCGAGATGGTAAGATAGTTGTACATAAACGCCCTCGCAAATTTCCAAGTATTTTTATAATACAAAACTTACCGGCATCGAAACCATGGGCATCTGTTGAGAATCCTCAGGAGTCTCATCCTGATCACGCGGCGTTGGATCCTCTTTGACAATCACACATTGTGCACAATTCCCACCTTTCCCGTCCTTTTGTTCTGGAATTTGTACTCTTAATTTTGGCTTTTTCGGTGTTGGCGATACTAATGGCGGAGAACTGACTAATTCATTCCCGCTAGGTGGTGTTTCCATCGCACTTTGAGATAACTGTGGTGAATGGCGTATCTGCGGGCTGTGCATTTGTGTTGATGAATGTTGTAACTGAGGCGACTGCTGTGTCTGTTGTACTACCCCTGGTATTACCTGTGTCATAGTGTTTGACATGGTTGATGAGAGGGATGACTGTGTTGATGGCATCGAGGAATTATTTGAAATCGGCACACCCATCTGTAGTGGAGCGGGAATTGGTGATGCGGAAAGTGAGGATTGAGAGTTGGGAGCAATGTTAACAGACATTGGCATGGACATGGCCATCATTGATTGATGAGGTATTGGGGTCACCTGGGTCATTTGTCCATAATATTGTGGTTGCTATAAGAGTAAGAGGTTTAATGCAGTGATTAGCGAACAAGTACACAAAGTACATTATAGTAACTTAGCAATGATAATATTTAAAGACAGAAGCATGATCCGTCACTTGCTGCACCTGTTGAACTATGTATGGCTGGGGTGATGGAGCATACATGCTGTTGGTATAATTCACGTGGTATGGAGTATGTTGATATGACGGAGGTGTGGCCTATTAACAAAAACTTTCTGTTAGTGGTGTTTCATTTCGCGTTGGATCAGTCTTCTGATTGACACATACCTGCTTTTGCTCCGGGGTCGAAGAAGGGTCGTATACCGTTGCTGGAGGGTTATCGTCATCATCAACGTCTGCTGTATTTGCGAACTGGAAAAGATGATAATCAATTAGAATGAATAACATATTCAGCAGCATTTGACTTCGTTCAACTTACATCATGATTGCCTTTGCTTTCGTGTGGTTCACTATACTGTATGTTAATAATAACGAGTCGTAATTTATATAAGTTATCGGGAAAAAAATTATTACTCATGTCTCGACACTAATCCTTACCTCAGTGTACTTCAATAGAATCTTGTCGATATCAGTACTTGCATACTGAACTAGTTTATTGTTCGAATTGAATATTATCAGTGCGATCTCACAATCACACAAGACACTGAGCTCATAGGCTTTCTTCATTAGACCATACTTCCTTTTCAGGAATGTAACCTAAGAACGGTAGGAAAAGAGGTGAGAAACTAATAACATATTCAACAAGATAGCCGTCTTCCAACATTCGACAATCTGTATATAAAGTTTGAAATATGGATATATTTACTTGGCGATTTCGTTCATCTTTGATTGGCTTGATTTGAATCTTCTTGCGGCCCATTGTAGTTCAATTAATAAAAGCTGCAGAGAGAGAAAACGTGGTAAAGTTGAAAGTTAGTTAAAATCGTTGCAAACAGCCAAATCGACATCCAGCCCACGCAAGACTTTATAACATATTGTTTTATATCCGCTGACACATCGTATCATTATCTGAAACGAACGCAGAGACTTGAATATATAGCAATACGTGATAGCGCAAACTCTGTCAGAAATAAGTTTTCGCTAAAGCCATTCTATGATCGACAAATAATGACCGAAAGACAGTCATTAGGTTGAATATCTTATACCGACATTACTATTACTAATAACCTATTGCTTTAATCTACTGCGTCTACACAATAAACTTTTATCCACTGTTCTTTCCTTTGTATAATTATACTTGTAAGCAACATCAGACTATTCACCATTAGCGCGCACCTCAGCATGTTGTTTCAGCTTATGGTACATAGAATACAACATGTAAGGATAGCATATATGAAAACCAGCGTTCACACACATGAGCATTGCTTGACTTTTCCGCCCTTATAGCTACTCTTCTAACATATACACGTAAACTTTCTTCTCACCTTAAACGTACTTCTCTGAACTTGTAACCACTGTTCTTTTTTTACACTCCGTAGAGATAAGAAAAGAATTTATGAGGACGAGGTGGAAAAAAATAGAAAAATAGTCTGGTGCAATGGTTAAAAATAAGTGGGGATTTGGTTGGGTGATAGGCAGAGCACAGTGGGTCAATAGATTGCGGGGTGTAGCTAAATGACCAAGTACGAAAAAAGGGGGGCGAGTGACGTTCGATATTATCGGGAATTTATATACATTAGACAATCACTATTACTATACTATACCACAGCAGCTGTGTTACTTTGCTTGCTTTATTCTACGTTTATACAAGTTCTTTGTGTTTGGGACACTTGTGTGATCTGTATTTTAATGTATTCGATTATTTGTAAGTGAGCTATAAATAGAACAAGGGTGCATCCGCTTTCGTTATCTCCTGTTTCCAGTTTCAGTTAATGGAGGGCAAAGGCTTATATATACATATATTGCACAATACTTACGGGGCTGGGTCTGTTGCACATCTGGCTGTATGGAGGACAAGACGATGTGCAATTTGTATTATGTGTGTATAACGCATCATACTACGTGTATGGGATATATATTGTATATGTTCTTATATAGTATGCCATATATAAATCCACGCTAATATGCAACGATTGGTGGATCGCTGGTTACTCAGATACTATAAATATCAATGTAACAAGTCACCGCCACCATAGAAATCAACTTTATTTCTGTGACAACCGCTGATAAGAGACTTTGATATAATCTCGACAATATAACACGTGCATCACAGCAATAGTTATAATTAGAATCCACGTATGTCAATGCTGATGGTGGACATTCATTAAACGCCCAGATATCTGCGTCTAGATCATTTTATGTGACATCAAAGATAATACAATTGTTTGGTATCACGTATTCGTTATAGAATTCCAACTCACATGATTTGCAACCATATGTCTATTAATAGAAGTGATTATTTATAATGGTCTATCTTTGGCAGTGAAGGAAGTATATTACATCCAGAATTGTACAAGTGTCATAATGAAATAAACCTGATTTAATTGTCAAATAAAACAGTTATCGCGCCAAATGGTTAGTGTTATCCCGAAGCAGCACAGGAAACAATATCTGACATACGACCAGATTCTCATAATTCCCACCTTATAAAAAGATCATACACGACAGAGTAAGTATGTCGTCGTATTCGTCATCATCATTCTCATTTTCGTTTTCATCACCGTCGTCATCGTCATCGTCATCACCATCATCTTGTCCATTTTCATCTTGTTCATATTCATTTTCTTCTTCTTCTTCTTCTTCCCCTTCCCCTTCTCCTTTTCGTCACATTCTTCCCATAGCCTTTGATCCCACGCTATTCGATCCACTATCAATGATGATTATTAGTTGGTATCACAGTTGTTTGATCCGCAAGACAATCTACTAGTTCTCTTATATTCTCATTAATTAAAGTTTGTGCCCTCGCACGAAAGTCGATTCTAACACAGAATATATATATATATATATATATATGTGAAAATCAATTATACAAGGTATTAACGTCAATATTTATTACAAATCATTGCTTAAAAACCAAGCATGTGATAATGATAACAACGCAAGTGAAGCAAACGCACAATAGCCAGGAGGAGGAGGGAATAGTAAAATACGCAATTGAAATGGTAACAAAAGGACAGCATCAGGGATGATAATGCATAGAATGTCGTATCTATTCGTCACGGGGCTATAACATATCTATAGGCTGCATATTGATCAACTATTGCAAGTGACGATTGGTTTAGCGTTATTATATGTTCAGATCGTTGGTATCGACATTTTGAAAACGGATATTGCCCAATACGGTTAACCTATGCACATGGATCCATTGCAAGAAGACAAATATGTATCCCCCAAAGTCTTATGTCCACGAGCTGTACAGACGCGCGTAGTTATTATTAATAACGATATAATCTAGCATACATTGCAAGCCATTAATATAATCAACCTTCTTTGATTCGAATTTTACGGTACGGATTGGACCAATATCGGGATGTCCTTATCTTGCGTAGAATTGCTCCCACCATAGAAATACGCTTTGGTTACGGATATTAATATCTACACAGGCATTGCCACAGATAACATTACTTCTGTATTACTATGCTAACGGGATAATATTCTACCGCTTTGTGCAACTGATATAAAGGATTAACAGAGAGTAGTTATATCTTTATTGAAAAACTTGTTGAGCCAATATAATTATAATAATTATAATAAAATGCGAATATGTAGTATTATTACTTTGTTCACGTGAAGCCAATAAAATTCCTCCTAAGGGGGTTTACGGAGATCCTAAATTTTCAGAACTGTTGTTGGTTCACCAGGATCATCAGAATACTCTAGCTTCGAAATTCTTAAACGCCAACGTGTACGTAACCAATCGGCCAAAGACAAACAACGAGGGCAAAGACCAAAAAAGCTTTATTGTTTTTATTGGATGCCGAGAATGTACGTTGTTGTCCGATACTGCAGATGATCGATTTTCCTAAACTGCATTAGGATGGTGACAGATTTACGTTACAAAGAATAAATGTTACATTAGTCGGTTCTCCCGATCCATTAATTGCTTTTTTTTTTAATTCATATTCAGTCATCTTTAATTTGTAATTTGCGACAAAAAAATTTTTTACGCTCATCGACATTCTTTAATGTTACTTTTGTTGCTCATTTTTGTCTTTTCTTTTTTTTCGGTTATTAGGTTTTTAAACTTACTTTTTTCGTCACCGTACTCTGAATATTTCAGGGCTAGCAAATTCTTGCAATTATTTTTCACATATTAATATTAAACTAACCCCTTTTTTCCTTCCTTTCTTTTGGAAAGATTATTTGCTTTTTGGCTCTTTCCAAAATTATTGACGCGCCATTAGAAGCTTGCGCTTTACTTTTATATTAATATGCAATAAAGTTGTTGTACCTCAGTTTAAGTTGGGGATCTGCCCAGTTCTGGACTGAGTGTCTGGATTCGGAATTGAGACAACTGAGTTCTGGACTGGGTGACTGGGTTCTGAACTGAGACAGGTCCCAAACTTAGACACAACATAATCACTTCTTGAGCTATCAAAATTAATTACATAAAAAATTGTTGCCACAGTAATAACGACTATAAGCACAAACTTTTAAAATACCATAAGTAATTTGGGAATAATAAAAAAAGTGGTTAGGCCCGACTTTGACTTATAGCGTTCTTTAGACTCTGAATACGCAGCCAAAAAGAGTATTGCGTAATAATAAGTTATTAAGCAAGAAAATAAATTTTTGGACTACGTCGTTTAAATTGTTATTATTTACAACTTTGTTAATAAACCAACTATTTGTGCTTTATATTTTTTAACTCTAATTTATTTGACGCTGCTTCATGTGCTTATTTTCTTCGGGCCTCAACGCTTTTGAAGCACAGCAATAATTTATCATCTTTCTTTAATGAATTCCAATAATTCTCTAGCGTTGGACGGTATATTCTTGCTAACAACAGAGAATCAATTTGCATGTATGTTTTATTAATAAATCATAACATGATTTGTCTATTATTTGACCGATTTAATTGGTAGTGAATCATCATGTCATGTGTACAGTTAAGCAGCAGACATTAAACCCAATTAAACAATTATATTGATTGCGAGTTCAAAACGAACGTAACGACAATTTCAAGCGTTCCGCATCCTGAAGTAGAATTCGGTATTACTAAACATCCGACAACAATTTCTGATGTGCTTGGATCTGCTACCAGACGAGTACTATGCGCACGAGTGTTATCAACAAGTTTAACAAGACAAAAATATTTCATTTACTGTAAAAGATCAAAGTCGGAGCGAAGTTATCGGATAAACTATTAAGTGTAGTGCGCCAAGAATTAAACCATTTATTAATAGAAAACTTGAGATAAATAGAACGTTCCATTATACCGTTGTTTGTTTAGGTCATACAAGCAAAAACTGCAGACTGTCACGTGTAGTACCTAGTGATGTTGTGCATTCGAATCACCTATTTTTAACCATCCTTCGTGAAAACATTCGTTTATACTTTACAATGGCACTTCCCTAAACTACCTGCAATGCGGACCGTATCGTAACAAACTCGTTGCGCTTAATATCAATACACTTTAGGAAGAAACTTGTTGCTTAAATCCAATGTAATTGAGTTTTATTATTAATGCTTGGACATTTAAGCGACAGTTTCATTGTATACTTTTTAAACCATCATTTTTGGAGAGATTCGTTATTTTAAACTCAATAGTATTCGGACTTAATTACTTCATGTCATTCAATAACGTCAAGTCCAAGAAGCTTCTTTAGAGCATTAGCTTGTATTGGCAGAAGATTTAAAGAACGTTGCATAGATTAGTCAAAGTGACTTGCGTTTTTTGAAATAAAAATTTCATGCCGTTAAAATCTTACTAATTTTATATAATATCAATGCTTGGTCAATACCCATTAAGGATAACATCGAGACTCTTATTTCGCTGTTATATACATAGACTACTCATCCTTACGCGCATCAGGACCCATTCCATAGCCGAATCGTGCATAATACCCAGCGAGCTTTTTTTTTTCCCGGATAATATACGTGATTAAGTCTGTATGATTCAGGGAATGTCATTTCTTGCTTGATTAAGAAACTCCAAAACTTTTATTGGGATTGTTGCATACTCTCGTTCCACTCCTATTACTGCTATCAACTCTTTCCAAGGGCAGTCTGCAAAGCTTCAAGGACCTCAGATTCAACCTTTGCAGCAGCGCGTTCTGCTTCAGTCGTACTACTAGCAGATAGACGCTGAGCTTCGGCTAGATTAGCACGTATGGCTTCGATAGAAAAATGTTCGAGTGAAAAAGCCTCGACTGCATTGATGTTTAAAGAGGAGTCGGAATTTACCGTCGCAAAACCACCACTAACTGGAAATGAAGAAAATAGACCAAGATTAGATTTAGGTAATTGTCTCTGAGTTATTAAACATCCGTGAGCATAGGTCACAGTCGAGAGCTAATGCTACGGTCGCTGTCATTTTCAATTTTACATCGTCTCCTCTCCCGTATTGCCAATTTCACACGCTAAACCTCCGCCCCTCCCCCTCAATTCACTGTTACCGAAAAACTTCTTTGTTGTAGTAGGGTTTTCTACAACTTCCACAACACCTGGTTTCAGTTGTTGGATCGTAGCAAGATGGTTAGCCAATATACCCATATCACCGGCAGTGGAGGAGAGATTGACCTGTTGGACTTCAGCACCATCGTAGAGTATCTATTGCATGAATTTAGAAAAAGAGGGAAAAAGTTTAAGTTTGGAGTGACTTGGAAAAAAGTGTTAATTTCAAAAAGAAAAAGACGTGGGCAACAAAACAGCGCACATTTAATGTACAGTATCAATTGCAAAAATGAGTATCAATTGCAAAAGTGAAATATTAATAGCACAACATGGATCCAAAGAATAGTTCAACTAAGGCCACTCTATCCTCACTTGTCTAACAATCGTTGGTCAATAGTTGACCCTTTACGGCTATAAGCTCACCTCATGAGGTACGGTAAAGCTCAGACGCAGCTTATCTGATGCTCCTGTGGACTCCGTTGCATATGAGCGCGCTAGAAAGAAATATTGAGAGTTAGATACGCATCCACTCTGAACAAATAAAGAAACACTTGATTATAATTTATAGCAAACCGCTCAATTTATATTCTGTTTCGCTTTACCGCTGTCCATTATCCGCAAAACTCACCCAATCCCCTGATCCCTAACGCTCCAACAGTTCTGGCAGTCCTCCCAAGAAAATTCATTTTAAAAAGCGATGATACGTTCAAAGAGTTTCTCGAACCATATTTTTTGCTGGTCACACCATCAACCAAATTGGGGCGTGCGTCTGATCTAAAAACATTGAGACGTGCAAAAATTTGAGACTAATGCTGATGAGAATGAATAACCTCGGAAGATTACTATTATCATGCGTAAGACAGTATGAGACTTTTCGAGAGATTAACTGTTACGATGACCAAGCCCTAAAATCTTCTACTATCGTGATTAATTTTTCTTCAGGCCGAAGCGCAATGTGTACCGCTTTACAATTCTCTCTCAGCACGTACATTTAACGTACTTTCGCGGCGATACACGTACGTTACATTCTATACACGAAAACTTGTTAATTCGTAGAATTGCGCACATGGGATGCTCATAGTCACACTGGTACTTGTCATCTTTTATATTTCTATTATATATATCGCAGATCTCAATCCATTGATCGGTCGTCACCCGACTTTTCTTCCACACGTACACCAGATTCCAGTTCCCAATTACCACCATTATCAAAAGACGCTAACAGCGCCTCAATAGACAATAAACAAACAGCAGAGGATGTTATATACCTCAAGGGTTAGGTTTACTTTACTTTATGCAAAATCGAGAAACACTATGTGATAGAAATAAATTAGAGGCAATTAATATGATCGGGGTTATATGGTTGTGATTTTTCACTTTTCAATATCTACTGATCTTATAACGTCGTAGCGTCTTCCACAATGTCAACTATGCTAACCTTTTCTCTCTCTCCGCATTATCTCTCCCTGCTTATTATAAAATCATAGAACCCGAGCAATATCTTCCGACCCACAATGTTGTCGTTTGCGATCTGCACTTTCGGAGTTATGTTCCATCTCATATGGACTTTTATGTTGACTTTTGTCGACGTGCTGCTGGGGCTCTCAGGATTCCATGCTCGGGACCTGTCCCCCTTCCTACAAAAACCACCCGATGGACCGTTCCTCGCGGTCCATTTATTCATAAAAAAACCCAAGAGAACTTTGAACGCAAGACACACAAGAGATTGCTTCAATTGAAAGATGCAAACCGAGATGTGGTTGAGAGATGGTTGTACTATATCATCGATAATGCTCCAAGTGGCATTGGAATGAGGGTAACACTACGGGAGTACGAGGAACTTGATGTGGGGGAGAGAATGCTAAAACAAGCGAGGGGTGAGGAAAAGATAGCATTAAAAGCTGTTGAGAATGATAAGGGAGAGAAGGGTTTGATCGGTGAGAAAGTAGCCACAGTTGCTAATGTGCTTGTCAAGGAGATGGAAAGACAAGTTACTGAAGAGGCACACGAAGATACAGAGAAGAAGGGCTGAACGAAAGGAAGTTATGACGTTACTACTAGGGATTGATAATGATATTTTGGTAAATCATGAACAATTGAGATGTACAACAATTAAACGGTACAAAGCCAACATTGAAGTGATTTCCGTGCTCTTATTGTTGCTAATGTATCGTCAGTTGAAGAAGGGAAAAAACTATCACTATTACGCTTAAGCTACCCAAGTAAAATATTGTAATTACAAAGTCCTTTGTGAATGTATGTTTCTCTTTTGATGCACAGAAAATTGCTATGTGCAATGTGTCAGACCGATTGCGAAAAACCCCCCCAAATAGATATCCATATTCATCAATATGCAGCATGTTGGACAAACAGTGGATAGAAGAAGTGGACTCTGAGACATTAAATTTGAGCTAGAGTTATTAGATGAGCAAGCATCATATTATTTTCCATTGTAATCTACTTTAGGTCAATTACTAACAGAAATTAAGCCATCCAAAATTTGGCACTCAGCTGCAGACAAACTTTTGATGTTTTGATGTTTATGAAACGCAATTCGATAAAATACTGTACGAGATGTCAGCTTTTCTTTGCTGCGTATCTTGGGATTCGACCGAAGATATGTTGTAGATCTCGGCCAAACAGTTGTATTCTTTCATTCACTTGACGTTGAATAATGCACAACCTTCTAATCAGTCATCTCAATGAAAAATCTATACGAACATGTCAGTGAACCACTCTTTTCTGGGTAGGAACACACTGATGTTTCGATTTGCGTCTTAACGTTGCGGTACTTGAAATAACGAGTGGTGCAACAAAAATCAAGGCAGGGGACGTGATACTGAGTAATACATTGTCTCAAGCGGACGATACCAGAAAGCCATAGTAATAGAGCAACTCTATAAAGAGCGACAATACGGGATGCTTTTGATTATCGGTTGAAATCTAATCAAATATCCTGCAAGCTTCTATCAAAATTTCAAAAAACTGTTCATCCGAGTAATATTTCCACGCTAAGCGACGATCTTTACAAAAAGGGTTTGGTGCAAGTATCGGTATACGAGTACAAATCCTCGCAGGGGAATTTCGGAAAGATCAATTGATATTGTTTCATGCGCTGCGAACGCTGTGTACGTATTTGCGTTTCTTTCTTTTCCACAGTCCATAGTTGTCTGATGCTGGGGAAGATCAGTGTACGGTATTTTATTTGTCATATACAATATATTTGATCTTGAGATGGAATCAAATTCGTTAACCATATCAGGAGATTATTTGTGTAACAAGACTAATGGAATGCCTCGGAATGTTGCGTGACAATTTATCAACTTTCTTTCTAGTATAAATAAATCACCTCCGTTTAAATGTCAAAAGTCACAACAGCCCCAATTTACTGTTTCCCTGATAACCTATCAAACAAACTACAGTCAAAATGGCCATTCTCAAAGTCCATGCACGTCAAATTTTTGACTCTCGCGGCAACCCTACCGTAGAAGTTGATGTGACTACCGAAAAAGGTACTGATATTTATAGAATAAACAAGTACCGATGTCGATGGATTTCAAGACATTAAAAGTAATCTAATCGAAATATTCGTTTAGGCGTATTTCGTGCTGCTGTTCCTTCGGGTGCCTCGACTGGAATTCATGAAGCTCTCGAGCTGCGAGATGGTATTGAGACTGAGTATGTCGGCAAAGGTCTTTATCAGAATCTGGCAAAGTATTAAAATACCTGCGTTAAAAGTAAACTTATTAATCATTCTCCTCGTTGCTAACGTGATCCAACTCATTTTAATAAATTACAGGAGTCTTAACAGCTGTTTCCAACGTCAATAATATTATTGGCCCAGCACTTGTTGCAGCAGCAAACATTGATGTGAAATCACAATCTGACGTTGACGAGTTCTTGCTCAAACTCGATGGTACGCCCAACAAAGCCAAGCTTGGCGCCAATGCTATTCTTGGAGTTTCACTTGCAGTTGCCCGTGCCGGTGCTGCCGAGAAGGGCGTTCCTCTTTACAAACACATTGCCGATTTGTCGGGAAGCAAAAAACCATTCGTATTGCCTGTTCCCGCATTCAATGTGATCAATGGTGGGTCTCATGCCGGTAACAAACTGGCCATGCAAGAGTTTATGATCTTGCCTACTGGTGCGAAATCGTTTGCAGAGGCTATGCGGATTGGATCAGAAGTGTATCATGCTCTAAAGTCGGTTATCAAGTCTAAATACGGCCAAGATGCTACGAATGTGGGAGATGAGGGTGGGTTTGCACCCAACATTCAGGATAACAAGGAAGGTCTTGAATTGCTCAAAACAGCTATTGCCAAGGCAGGATATACGGGCAAAGTGAAGATCGGAATGGATGTGGCTGCTTCCGAGTTCTACAAGGAGAACAAATATGATCTCGACTTTAAAAATCCCAATTCCGACCCTTCCAAGTGGCTTTCTGGTGCAGAACTCGCAGCGCTATATAAAGAGTTTGTTACGGAATATCCATCAATCGTATCAATTGAGGATCCATTCGATCAAGATGATTGGGAGGCTTGGAACCATCTCAACACATCAACTAATATTCAGATCGTTGGGGATGATTTAACAGTTACTAATCCAACAAGAATCCAGACTGCCGTTGAGAGAAAGGCCTGTAACGCGCTCCTATTGAAGGTCAACCAAATAGGGACATTGACCGAGTCAATTAAAGCGTACGTATCTCGATATCATTAACAATTTTTCCACTGTGATTTTTCAGTTTCCCCGTATTATTCACTGACTGGCAATCAATTATTATCATTTTATTTGCAACCATAGTGCGAAATTGTCTCAAGATAATGGCTGGGGTGTCATGGTCTCTCATAGATCCGGCGAGACGGAAGACACGACAATTGCAGATCTTGTCGTTGGTCTGCGTACGGGGCAGATAAAGACAGGAGCGCCATGCCGTTCTGAACGTCTGGCTAAATATAACCAATTGCTCCGCATCGAGGAAGAATTGGGCAGTAATGCTATCTACGCTGGTGAAAACTTCCGACATGCGCATTTATTGTAAGAATGACTCGCTAATACAGTTTGAAACATGATGTGTTGATGGTGAAAAAATCTTGTAATTCGGGGATAATATTTTATTTATCTTGAATAGTACTACAAAGTAAAAATACAATTCAACAAGAACAAATTCTCAAATTACACATTGAATTCAATGTTTCGTGATTATCCTGAGAACTCTATTCATCATATTTCATCTAAATTATTTGCTACCTCTCATCTTTAAACCTTATTCGCTGGCATTGGCTAAAATGGACAAATCGGAGAGCCTGGCATGTTCACTAGGGCATGGTTCGACTGCATATGATGCCAAATCCTCTATAGATTCTTCTGTCGGCTGGGAACTTAATTCATCTGACAAACCATGAATTGGTTGATTGCCTTCTTCGGCATATACTTCCTGTACTACTTTGCTCCATTTCTCATCTGTGTAAAAGGTTTTCGCAAAGTGCTCAAGTCCATGAGCTGACGACAATTTCTCATAGCCAGGTATAAACCTTGAAAGACAAACGAATGTTAATTAACATGCAGCCAAATAAGATGTCATTATCGATTGATTACCTTCGATAAGCATCCTCCGCGACAGTTTCGTCCAAGATGAAAAACTGTTTTGATGGTTCCTGCCCTCTCTTACACGAGCTCTTGTCGTATGTTAACAATCGATCCCAATAATGAAATACTGTGAGACAATGGAGAGCCTCTACACGTCTACTTGTATACCAACTCTGCAAGCCCTAACAAATAGAGGCGTGATAAGTGCAACTTTACGTGACAAAAGTAGGACCACGGTTAAAAACTCACTTTAAACAAATATGATAGCAACAAATAAAGGTCTCGTTGATTGTCAATAATATTATTGCTCTTTTCATCTGATTGGTCGAAATCCACGTATCTGATGTCTCCACGAATCTCAGCTATGGCTTGATTGAAGTCATCTTCGGCAAACAAATCGGTTGTATATACATATCTCTCTGGATCATCCTGTTAATTAACAGACGTGTAAAAAAGTTTGTACGAAAAAGATTTATATAACCAATTTGATGAAAGCGTCCATACTCTTCCGTATTTAGCAATGACGGTATTCCAAAAGCGTTGGTGACTTGCACTTGGCTTCCAGCACGACTTTTCTGCCAAATACAAGATTTGACCCAGACTAGTGGCTTCTAAGCGTGTGACACACACTTCTTGTCTTTGAATGAGAAGTATCATAAGGAACGTTTCAATGTCCATCAATGTTGCCTCTTCCGCTATTACCAGTTTTTTTGGTACGATTGGCGGAGGTGTCGGTTGCCAACTATCTGATGTTCGAGAAGACGCTCGTGAAGAAGATTGGTCGGATTGCACAAGATCATTCTTAAATTTGGGGAGGACTCTGGATTTTCGCTTTCGAGTGAACGGTCAAACGTAAGTGAATGGATTCATTGTAAGTATGCGATCAGAATAGCTGTTTGATTTACCTCTGGAGCAGTGCTTGCCAAATTGGGGAGCCAATACTTGAGAAGTTCCATAAATTGTTTTCCCGAGTCAATATACCACGAAATGACAGATAAAAATCTTAATAAAATAATACCGGTTATTCTGCATTCACGACAAACACATGAAATAGATAATACCAATTGATATGAACCTACCTATTCAAGTCATTTGGAGAACACAATGTAATCTTGTCAATCTGCTTTAACATTTTCGTGACAGAATCCATTTTCTGGGCCAATTCTTTTCGATCTTGATTTCCATAGTCATCTTTGGTCAAGTGATTAAGAAGGTTCTTGTGATTTGGAAACACTATTTCCCTTGTCGCATGATCATCATTCACCATTATTGCTGCACACTCTACATCCGGCTTACTAAGCCAATCGAAATCGAAACACAATATGAGGGTAGTTAACAGTTGGAAAGAATCGCTGATTCGTTGACATATGAAGTAGTCCACGTAGCTCCAATTATCGGTTAAGTTTTGCAATTGTGTGAACGGCATGCCCAAAAACAGAGCACGTTTGAGTCTTTCAAACGCAAAGGACACATGCGTTCTGGTTGTGGGAAGAAGAGAAAGTGGGGTTTGATATTCGCTCGAGTCCCCGAACTTTATCCTAAAATAGGCCTTGTGCCGGTTGTATCTTGCTTGCATTTCCTGCAATAGCACAGATATAATATCATGGTATGCGGACAGACAGTTAACAATTGCGAGAATAATTCTGCTAGCAAATAAGTTGACACTCACTTGATGTACTTCGTTCTGCTCTGGGAGATGTTTACTTCGTGAAGAGACTTTCCCATATTGCTTCAATATCTTTTCGCACTCTTCACGACATCTTTCATAATTGATAATGGCAACCTCTTACGGTTATTTTCTATGCAAGCATATATAGAGCGACAATACTATATTGTGTTACTCACCCGCAATCTAGTGTCAATCTCACACAATTGTCAAGCGCAAACATGTACAGTTTCTCGATAGAACAGAAGTTATCCCATTCCTCCCGTGGATATGATGATGCCAATAAGTCGATATTCTCGCATATAAAAGTATTCCATTCCAAGTCATCGGCCAAGTGATAGCGACTGTCTAGAGCATGATCTGCAACACTTGCAGAAAATCGAACAGATACAATATTGAGATCAGGCACGTAAATCTATATTCATGGTCCTGAGAAATCTGGCCTACCTTCGAATTTCTTTCTTTCGCAATAGAGATCTGGCGAGCAACTTGTGGAGATGCGGGTCAACCAAGGTCTCCTTAGCAGCAAACAACTCTTTTACAAACTGCTCGTCGATCAACTCTACTGGCTTTCCTGTGAACAGCGCATATATATTTGAATTCGCCTGTCGATGACCAATAGATTTTTTAAATACAACAAGGCACTTACCGGACGATTCTCCATTTCGACGTTTAAGGCAGCCCCGTTGCCTAGGTTGTCCCTCCGCGCGTTTAACCAAAATATCAAATAGGCCACGTAGTAGTTTGACACCACGTTCACTATACAACGGCCCGGTCTTACGCTGACGTAATACGGTACTGTATTTGGTACTGGATTTGCTCCGAGATCTGATACCGTTTCAAATAAATGAATTGAGTCGCCTTTATTAGTATAGTATATGAGCAATAAAACAATATAAGCGAACAAGTAGAATAGATACCTTTTTAGCCAATACAATGTCAAGGTTGCATAATGTAATATCTTCTCCTCTGTCTTTGATTCACGTACTAATTGTAGGTATATCTCGGCGACTTATAATTGAACGACGTACTGGATCGTAAGTTTCTTACATGAGTTGAAAAAGACTGAGTAAACTGAATGACCTAAGTCGCTTGGTGCGTTAGAGTTTACCGTCACAGGAGCGCTCTGGTGTTACTTCTCCGGTTGCTCTATTTCTGTTCGAGTGAAAAAAATAGACTGGATGAGTAGTTGATGACAGAGTGCGATAAGTATTACTAAGTATAATTATGTTATTAGAAAACGTTGGCTAACCGTTCAAAAGCCTCCGCTGCAGAAGTGAGTTTTCCTAATTTCCAATATGCCCTGCCAAGGTAATCATTCGCCTAGTTGAAAGCATTAATTTGAATCTAGGAAGACGTGCAAAAGTTGGAGTGTGTGCTAAATAGTCACATACCTCAAAGTGTTGTGAACTCAGTTCTGGTATGCATATAACATTTGTCAGTAGCTGGGTTGCCGTGCCATAATTTTCAGCTTTAAAGGCTTCTTTTCCTTTCTTGAGGAATTGGTATATATTGATGTTAGTGGAAGTCATATCAGCCTAATATGAATATGGTAGTAATCGTGTTGGTCGATAGAAGATACGCGATTTAGTCGCGGGATTGAGAATAAGAAGGTTTTAGGTCTTGTTGGGTTTTTATTGGTTGGATTTGCAGAGCTGCCGTACTACAAAGCGCCAAATAGAAAGCCATAATCAGAGAATGCATTATTTTAAATTTGCTACATTATCAAAGCGATTACTGTATTTCGTTCATACGATCACTTTGTCTACAGATACATTCAACCATTTTCTTTGACCACCTAATTCTAATGCATCTATTTTTGGTGACAATTTATTGTACCATAGATAATGACACACATGGATGCTTACCATTCTAATTACAGATAAAAGCTTATAATAAATATGGTTCATTTTACTTATTATTTAGATACACAAAATAAACGCGTGATACAACATGAAAAATCGTGGTCTCTACAAACCTCGTAATTCTGAAATTAGATGAAAATTTTTGGCGGTTCAAACATACCAAGCAGTACAGCTCAGCCATTTCTTTAGTTACGGACTAGCCAGTTAATAGTGCTCAATTGAAATATGGATATAGAGAAACGTGAAAAGACGAACGTCAAAAAAATCCTGACCGATTAGAGCAGTTTATCGGAAGAAATACCAGAACTCTAATAAATTTAATGAGACGGATGGATTGTAACATATCAATAGTAGGCATTACTACTATTTCCTGCATGATCTCCGGAGAGATCAAGGCTCCATCAAGCAAAGCCCGGAGAAAAATGATAATTCGCTAGTGAAGTTTTGCTGTAATAAATGACCGGGTAACACGAAGTTTTAATAGTAAAAGTCTTTCTTTTCAAAAATCTCTCCTGCTCATGCGAAGTGAAGCTAATTGATTAGCTGTTCGAAAAAAATAACAATAAAATTTTATAAGTTATCACTACTAAGCTGTAGCAAGTTGAAGCAGCTGTCTTTAAATCACGATATGAAAATATATGATTATATATGTATAACACGTATACTCACACTTCGAGCTATTAACTTATAACAATAACTTATAAATTTTTATTGTTATTCTTTTCGAAAAGCATAATCAATTAGCTTCAAAAATTATTGCACTTCGCATAGTACACAAGAGCAGGAGAAATTTTTGAAAAGAAAAACTTTTCATATGTTTTACATGAACTAAAAATTTAATACTACAAATATATTGATATTACAAATAAACTCATTATACACATAAGAAAGTCGTCAGAATACCCTCTTATAACGAATAATTTGTTTAAAGAACAAACGCAATTAATATGAAACTGATTCAAGTCAGAGAAAATCTTTCTTCAAAGTTTCTTATAATGAGTTGCTTGTAGTATTATCAAGCCGTTCTGAAAGCTTGAAAAACTCTATTTGTAGTAAACATGCTTGTTTAAAAGCATGCAAACTAACATTGCTTGAAAATCACGCTAACTAACATTGCTTGAAAACCACGCTAACTAACATTGCTTATTGCCCTTTTCAAAATTCTGTCAGTTGAGTCTTTTGGGTTGTCAAGAAAAGCAAATAATACTGTATAAATAAATAACATCGATGCCACGTCTAGCTCTAGTTTCAACCAAAGGTTATTACAGACCAACGCCAACAAGACATTAGTAGATGCAGGACATCTGTTCATTACTTAAAATTTTGTTATCAATCAGGCCCTCGGTTATTTGAAATTCATATTGCGTAACCTTGCTTTGTCTTCTTCTCTTAGTTCAAGGAGGATCTTTATTTGAAGGTGGAGTATCTTAACCACTCTAATAAAGTGTCATTATTGAACACGCTAATGTTGGGAAGAGTATTTCATTCGTGTTCTCTACTACACAGATCTAACACTTCAGTCTTCGCAAGGCTGTTTACCTAATAATAGTAATCGTAATAGCAACATTGGAATACAATACGTCTACATTTCTTTATGATCAGTATTAAATATTAATATAACCGAACACGTCTTTTAATCGTTCAATCATGCTGTGTCCATATACAAAGACGTTCCCTCCGTGGCTGTGCCTCCGACACTTTTTTACTCGAAACACTAATAATAGTAGTTAGAAATTAGTTATAAAAACGACCTTTTCTTACAGCTGAAAATATTATCAGAGCTGTAAATGAGTTTCTAACTCTCGTCCCTAATTGTAAATAAACATGATTTACCCTGCATAAAC